AATCCATGTGCTAGCAGGTCCTTCTTCATACGATGTCGGCAGAATTATTGATAGCTAACGTTCCATGTGCTAGCAGGTCCTTCTTCAACGATGTCGGCAGATCTGATGTACGGTCCACATTAATTTCCCTCACCTAACGTTGGATCTGGAAGAAAGCCACCTGACCTTATGTGACCTGCGCAGGGGAGATAATTCTGCTCACCGGAAATAGGCTAGGGAGACGACCTGGGAAGGGCGGTCGCTGCCGAAGAGGGAGTAGGGAGGACGGTAACGTGTCGGCCCTTGCCTCATGCCATCATCTCGGAGCATCTCGCCCAAAGGTCCCCATTCTCGCAGCTCGGCCTCGGCGTGGAAGCCCGGCAATCCTCGACGGCGGGCCGCCTGACAAGCGGGGTGGTGATGGAGAGGTCTGGATACACGCTCGGAGGTGCAATCTTACACGGAAGGTGCGAACCAGCAGCATGTTTCCAGGTCAGATCAGCAGGATGTTCCTGATGGATTGTTAGGAGGTAACGGCGTCGATTCTGGTGCTTATACCAATTCCGTTCGTGCTTTGGTTCATCAGCCTACGTCCTCACTTCCAGGAGCTTCAGTCCCACCATTAATGGCGCAAACGAGCTGCAAGCAGCCAGATGGAACAACAAACGGAGACCAGAAGCTTTGAGGGACGACCTGCGATGCTCCTACTGCTCAGGCTGACAACCTTCACTGACCAGGGAGTTGAGATTTGAACGAAAGCCTCATGTCATTGGGTGCTCCGGGTCACCGATTAGCAAGGACCTTCGCTGCTCTGTTTATAATAACCGTGGGCAACCACGACGCTGAACCAGCGGCATCCACAGGAGCTGAAGTTGTGCGGAGAACGGCTGGTGCAGGATTCCGGCGAGTGTGTTCCTGGCGGCAAAATCCTCCCTCCCGGATTTGATTGTGTCTGACTAGCGACCCTGTTGCTAGACCAGATTCTTCTGTTCTTCAATTTTTGTTTTCCAGCAGGTAGCAGCGCAACAAGATTGGGGGCTGGCGAGAACAACAGTGCAAGGTGGAGGCTTGCACAGCCAACAAGGTTCTGGCACTTTCGTGAAAATCCAGATCCCAGATTCCAAACTTTTTTCTTCTATCGGCCGACTGTTTTTCTTGATTTTCTGTGTTTGGGATGAATTTTTGTGATTTTGGTAGAGTTTTTGGTTAAGCGAAGAGGATTTCTTACTTGATTGTGTTCAAACCTCTCAGCGAGAGCTCCATTGTTGGATAATTGATACCCATATTGTACGAAAAAGGAAAGATTGAACAAGAATGTAGGAGAAGAAGATAATTAATGCGCCAAACCCCCCTGTGATTTGGAAATTCGGCGCATTAGCCCCCTGTGATTTAAAAAATGCGTCAAACCCCCCTGTGTTTTAATTAATCATGCGCCAAATCCCTTATGTGAACAAATTCAATTGTCAAATAAAAGAAAAATGATTAACATTTTCGTATGATTCAGAGATTTTGACATATTTATTTGCATATTCAATCAAAATATTAGGAAAAGTGATTTTCAAATCGTTAAATTTATTCATAAAGGGGGTTCTGTGCATGATTAATTAAAACACAAGGGGGTTTGACGCATTTTTTAAATCACAGGGGGCTAATGCGCCGAATTTCCAAATCACAGGGGGGTTTGGTGCATTAAACCCGTTGTATAATGAATGAAATGTGAGTTTCTATGAGTTCTGTTTACAAGCCTCCTATAAGGCGTATATATAGGGAAAATCCGGGTCTGGGCTTCTAATACGGGCCTAACAGACCCAGTTACATAAATGGACTGATAGTATAAAAAGCTAATCTAGAACATCTGAATAATAATGTACAATAATATGAATCCGCTAAACGTGTGTGGGCCGCTGTCCAGGCCCAATAGTCGGCAAACCGGGGGTCAGAGTCCATATATCCATCAGTATGGTACCTTAAGGGTACCATAGAATCTACCTTATGATTGTCCAAGTTTTGTTTTGTTTGGTCTAGTCATATCAAGTAAAAACATCTTTAAACCACCTATGTATACTTTCACCAAGCCCCCCTCGTACAGTAGTATCATAATTCAAATCGTGGCATTCGTTTTCCAATTTAGGAAACGTATAATGGTTAACTTCCTCCGCTCATTTAAATTTTAAACAAGTCGTTTTGTTTGTGCTACAATTATGTTCACTTCTGTTTCTTATTAACTTTCTAAAACATCCTTCGTGGTTCGACATTTCAAACTATTGGCACAAATTCTTCTTATAAACGTTACCTTTAAGAGTTTGCGTTCTTTTACATTTTACAATTTACACCATTTGCGCAAATCATCAACAAATGATGAAGGATTAGGAGTTTTTTAGTTAGCTTGGATTATGAATGGATTTCAAATTGATCATTAATTGTTGATTCGTTATATTTGTTCTCAGGGAAAACTGTCAAATAGGGCCTCCTACTATATCAAAAAAGTCAATTAAGTCCTCGTACTTTAAATTCGACCAATTGAACCCTCGAACTAATAGAAAATAGTCAATTGTGACCTTCAACCGGTAAAGAACAAGTTTTCCGGTTAATTTGCCTATGTGGAATTTTTTTTCATTTTTTTTTTTCCTTTTTTTGTTTTTTCACTCCCAGTTGCCTAGTCTCTCCCTCTGGCTTCTTCTTCCACTCATCCCTCTGAGTCTGTGTAACACTTGAGATTTAATATAAATGGATTAATAGTACTACTCATACCAACAGAGGTGCATCTCCTTTTAAGGGAGCTCATTACCTAAGAACTCCAAAATTAAGCGTGCTTGCTCGGGAGTAGTCTTGGGATGGGTGACACCCTGGGAAGTTTCTCAGGGCGCACATGAGTGAGGACAAAGTGCGCGGTAAAGGCTCGTGGTGATTTGTGGGGACAGTACTAGAGGTCTGGAGTAACTACCTCGGGTCCTGCGGGGCCGGGGTGTTACAGGTGGTATCAGAGCAACTCTGCGACAGTGTGCTGATCCGTTGGATATCGGGCAGACACCTAGCAGGGGAAAAGATTCTAGGGCTTGATTGAGATTGGTTTAAGGGCACAACGAGGACGTTGCGATCCTAAGTGGGGGTGATTGTAACACTTGAGATTTAATATAAATGGATTAATAGTACTACTCATACCAACAGAGGTGCATCTCCTTTTAAGGGAGCTCATTACCTAAGAACTCCAAAGTTAAGCGTGCTTGCTCGGGAGTAGTCTTGGGATGGGTGACCCCCTGGAAAGTTTCTCAGGGCGCGCATGAGTGAGGACAAAGTGCGCGGTAAAGGCTCGTGGTGGTTTGTGAGGACAGTACTAGAGGTCTGGAGTAACTACCTCGGGTCCTGCGGGGCCGGGGTGTTACAGTCTGAGGCTCTGAGCTTTTTTCCGGTGGACTTAATTTATGAATATGACATTATTTAGGCGGTCGTGATCATCCCAGAGTCGTATTAAGTTCCGGTCGGCTTGAGTTCCCGTGGGCTTGATCCAGTCACTCCATCTACCGGAAAATAAACTCTCGCTGTGAACTGGTGCTTCTGGCTAACCTTCCATTCAACCCTTTTGCCGGTTTTAGGTCCAGCACCTCTCCTCTGCAACTCCACATACAAGCAAATGTCCAGCCCGAAGCTGCCCATCCACAATGACCAGTCGGTGGGCTTGAGTTCCGGTGGGCTAATGAAGCCGTCGATGCAGGGCTGCATCTAACACATCCTTCCAGAGGTGGTCGAGGAAATCTGGACGGGCGGGTTGGCACACTTGATGGCCTCATCCATGAGGATTTCATGGATCTGGAGGGTGATGCCGCCAACATCATGGTGTTCTTTGTGGGGTCCTGGGCGCTAACTATGGAGGTCTGGTTCTCCCCGGCTTGCGTACGAGCATTTGGCAGATGGGTGGAAGACAAATTGAGACTGGGAGAAGATTGAAGTAAAAATCAGGCGGCTGGTAATGGTGGAAGGAGAAAAGAGAGAAAAAAGGTAAATTAAAAGAAAAAAGTCAAATGGATGGTACACGTAAGCTGTTAACCAGAAGATGTATTCCTTACCGGCTGAATGGCTTGATTGCCTGTTTTTTAATAGTTTGAGGTTCAATTGGTCGAATTTAAAGTACGAGATCTAATTGACTTTTTTGATATAGTAGGAAGACTTATTTGACAATTTTCCCTAGAAACCCTTTGTTCTCATATTGGTAAAGAATACCATAGAATATTGTGGATAAAACTTTATGTGAAACTGAACTAATGAACTATTTCGCATGAATCATGTCAGGTAATAGTGCATTTGCCACAGTAGAAAATGTGGACGCTGATAGTCCCGAGGCATTTTTCTACCCTATGTAGCACCAATACAGGTACCCAGAAACGCGAAAATGCGAAAACGGGTACGGGAATACGACAAAACCAAAAAAAGTAATATACAGTTACAGGGCCATATTCATAAATATTAAAAGTTATGGGGGTGTATTTATAAATATTAAAAGTTATATGAGTGTATTTATAAATATTAAAAATTCAAATTTTTTTTAAAACAATACACATATATTATCCTCTGACATCTACTCATTCATGGCATTGAAGCATTTTACATTTTTTAAATACTTAGAAATAAATTCATATTTTATCTCATATACACCAGTGCATCTCGAAATATAAATATAGTTAACACGTCATTAATTTAAAATGAGAAATGAGTCAAACAACTAAAGTTTTGAAATTAAAAGTGAAAATGCTCAAAGTTCTAGAATAATGAAGATATAAAATAATATTTTAAAAGCTCTATTACATATTTCCGTTGGAGCTATTAATTTCCAAGGATAATTAGAAATAGGGATAGGAGGATGGGTGAATTGGGAATACGGCAATACGCCCATTAGTTGTTTACCACATAAAAGCAGGGTAAAAATTATTTTTAGCTTTTCATTTTTTAAAAATTTTATTTTGTAAATTTTGAGTGTTTTTCAAAAAAAAAATTGAAGATATATTTTTTAATGTTGATACGTGTATCCGATCCGTCAGGATACGAGTATCCGAAATTTTAAAATAATTAGCAAAAAATGAAAACTTTTAAAAATTATAGTTACAGCCCGGGAACGTACGGTACGGGTATCCTAGAATATCAGATACATGAATGTTTCCAATACGCCGATACGACACCCTAGTGAAGTATCCGTACTTCATAGGAGATGCCTATAACACAACTCTAATTTACCTTTGTTCCAAAAGGTGGAATCTCCCATCCTAGGAGCGCCACATCCTGACCCGACAGAATGGTGGAGGAGTAAGTCATGGTGACTCAGTCAACCCAATGATGGTAGAAGTTATACTTGTGCGCATCAGAGGTCCAGTCCAGCACGCAGGAACTGTAACCTCCACACGGTCGCTGCGGGTTTCGATCCTTGATCATTCTTCCAAATTTTCCATCACTGGACCAACTGAGCTACATGTGCGGGTACAACTCTAATTTACCAAAAATACATTTTTGTTCTCTTAAAATCCCAACAAAATCAGTGTCATCTGCTTCCCCTAAAAGCACACCTGTTCCGCATAACATGTTGATAATAGCTTTCTTCCCCATAGAACTTCCTGAAATTTTAACAGAGAAGCATCTTGAATATCCAATGTAGTTCATGGCTACATGCAGAAAGCAGATACTGTTTTCTTTAGTTTATCACTTTACCTCTGTGCCACTAATATTGGGACATGCGAAAGTGACACATGCCCCAATATTAAGATTAGTAGAATTAGATGATTGATATTGAAATTGTAAACAAAAAATGAATTAGATACACATAAATCTGACAAAATATGGTACGTGACAAACATATTGAGACACATGAAAAGATTTGGCTGAAAATGGCTGAATGAAATGCAACCATAAACATGTAGGCACCAACTAATGAACTAATCAACCATAGGTTAGACAAGAACTCAACCATCAAAGTTAGACAGCTAGACTTACGCCAGATGTTCAAATGTTTCTGATCTGATGACAGCCTTTCCCTCGAGGAGTTCAAGGCAAGAATAATGCATTATCATCTCCTTCAGTGTATGCTTTGTGCTTTTAATGTCATTATCCCACAAGATACTCTACAAATGGAAGAGCAGAGATAAGGTAACTTCAACTATAGTAAACTGAACATCAATAGAGAAATCTTTAAATAAAAAAACGTTGACTTGTGCAAATGACATAATTAACTATCCGAAAGTTTTTCTTCATCTGATTTTGTAGCAAAGCAAGAATACATGTATCACATTGGTGCCAATCGTTTAAGAGTTAACACTTTATGTTGCTTCAAAATGGTACTACAATTAAGTTATTAGAATCACTCGAATTTGGTACCAAAAGATATTTTTAGCCAGTCCTCCTTACAGTGATGCCGCAAAAGCACATCTCTATGTAACCTACAAGTTGGCATAACATGAGTATATTTGGCAGCCATATAACTATTCCTAATAATAATATATCCATTAATCTAAAAGTTGTGAACATTGCAAAAAATAGGATTAAATCAAAACCTGTTGGTTTGATCTGGTAAATTAGATGATCAAATAAGGAAACCCGTGTAAGGATTTAATCACATATTCGCGGGTCAAATACCTTTCTCACGTACTCTCTTTTCACATCATCCCAGGGTACTTTTCCATTAGGCGAGAACAGAGAAGCATTCCACATTGCTCCCCTAGCAACCATCACAGATGATGCACCTAGAATCATCACCAAATATAATAAATGCCTAAAATATTGTAAGCAGAAATTTGCACATAAAAAGTGGGGGCAAATGTAGACACATAAAATTAGAGAAAATTCCCACAATAAGAGTAAAAATTACTTAGGGAAAAAGTAGAAGTCAATGTTTTAAGTTCCCTAAGTAGGAGTCATGATTTCCGATTGGACAAAAACACCATTGTAGGGGTTGAAGCTTGGTCATCGGACTGCCGCTGCGCCGGACTGCCGCCACCACCAGTTGCCAGACTGCCGCCGGATTCACTAATGAAGCAAGGGTGGGGGGGAATTAATTATATTATGGGTAGGCATGTATTGTTTAGTCCTATCTTGGAAATGAATATAAAGCATGGACTCCTATTTAGGAACTTTAACCTTGTTTTAGTCATATTTAGCATTGTTTCTTTATAAAATTATAGAAATGCAAATAAATAGTCTTGATGAAAGACTTACTTCTAACAATCAAATTCTTTTAAGTAATGGAAGCATTGAAGCAAGCATAAGTGCACAATATTGCCGAAAAGCAGCAACACACTAATGGATTCTTAATTTCTTATAGCATAGAAACCTAAGATGCTCTTACACTCTTGGGGATGTTTGGATGGAGGGCTTAGCCAATATCATTATATATAGAATGTTCCTTAAAATGAATAAAAGGTGATTGAGGCATTGCATTAAGACATATTTTGCTATTCCTTATTTCCTTCCATTTATAACAAGTATCAAACATATATCAAAATCTACACTTCGGCCTCCAAATTCCTCCAAAACCTAACTACAAAACTGACCCTTGGCATTACAACAGTTAGGAAATTTTCAGTTAACTGTAGTTAACTAAAGTTCACTCTAATGAAATCTTTATTACAACTGTTTTACATTTTTAAATGATGTTTTCCATGTTCACAATTTTCATTTCATGTTTTGCATTTCAGTGCTAGTACGAAATTGAAAGAAAGCTTCTGTTGTAAATTACATCTTCAATCAAATTGCTACATTAAGATTCAAGCAAATGGCCTGCATATAGACCTTTACACCCATTTGCACAGACAAGCACAACCCTTCTGTGTCCTGTTGTGGACTTGTGGTCCACCTACTGGCTTCCATAGCTAAAGTATTAAATTCAGAACAAGAAAATCTATGATTTTACGCTTAGGCAGAGAAATCAACAGAAGATAAAGATTATTTTCTTTTTTGAAAAAGCACGTAAAGGAAAGATGAAGCATCTAAAATAATTATTAAAAATACCAGTTGCATCTTTGATTCTTTGAAAATCATCATACTCAAAAACATCGCCATTTGCGATAACTGGTATAGATATTGCTGAAACGATATCAGAAATCTCACTCCACTTCGCCGGATCTCTTGGTCTATCTGGAACTTTCCTTGAGTTCAGTACATAAAATCTCCAGTCAAGAAATCTTAACAAAATTACTGTATAAAGAAGCTTAAAACTTTGAAATCAGATGAACAATAAAGTACAGATAATTATGCTTAAACTTTGATTAGTGATTACAGTAGACACCTTCCATGAACAGCAAGGGCAGATATTCCAGTTTTTTCAATTTGTCTTGCCAACTCTACAGTGTCTTGTGAGCATTTCAACAAACGGATCTTGCAGGTCACAGGTGTATCTAAGTTCCTTCTCAATGTTGTCAATATCTGTACCACAGTAATAACCGGACAAAAGATTATTTAGTAGGCCATGTAATTAAGCCCAAGATATAATTATTTTTCAGCCTTGGGCAAGGGAATGCGCACATCATGAATGAGTTCTGGTTTATTCAGCAGTGCAGCACCCATTCCTCCAGAGATAGAAAAAGATTTAGGGCAACCCATGTTGATATCCACTGCAGCAACATCCTTACAGCTACGAATGGTAAACCAGTCAGATTAGAACACACAAATTGTAGGCAGACATCCTCTTTTGATCCTACTAAAGACATCAAATAGCCCAATTTGAGTCTTTGTGAGCCCGTTTGGTAGCCCAATTTGGCTTATTCTGCTTATTAACAGAATAAGCAAAGTAATTTGAATCAGTAGCTTTGATTTACTTATTTGGCTCAAATGGATTTTACCAAATGCTTTTTGTTTCAGAAAATTAGGTAGATCCACCAATTTCAGCTATATAGCCTCAACCAAACGGGCTCTATAATATCACTATGATTATACTATCCAGGAAAGAACGTCTACAAAGAGCTTACACCATCTGAGCAGCACTAAGAGCCCTCACAGCATCGGAAGTGCCCATTTGAAATACGACTCTGCTTTTTTCTTCAGAGCATGTTCTGAAAACAACACTTCTTGTTCCCTTTTCCACAAAGTCAATTGTACCCAATAAATCTATTGAAGAAGAGGAAAATTGGTCAGTTTGTTCCACGAAAAATTGGATTGTCAGGGATCTGAAAGAAGCAAATTGCACAAATAAAATTAGTAACACAAGCTAAAGGATCAATAAATAAAAACTTTCTTTTGACCAATGTAGAATTATTTATCGAAAAACCAAAATACTATTGACCCAATGAGGGAACCAATGGAACAAACAGCAAGCTAGCTCACGCAACAAAATATCTCTGTTTAGCATAATTAATATGAATACGGAATACCAATAGTATGTTATTAGTGCACGGTACTAGACAAAATACTAAAACCGCTGAACAAGGAAAGAAATAAAGTCCCATACTGACAATAGTAAATGTCGTATAATGATGTCTGGAATACATTAAAACAGAACTATGGATAATAAAAACGGTGGAGTGTAGATTTCGATAAGCGACGCCAGTTTCCATTGTAGCACTGTGGATTGGCACATTTGGGATATCACGACCACCAACAACAACCAAGCGCCAATTTTAAATCATTGAGGTCGGCAACGTAAATGTATCTTCAACTACTCGTCGGAAATCATACACTAATGTGAAGTTTCACAACTAACATGAAATATCTTTTCACACCTCAATTCACATTGGATTCGCTCTACCATGATATCTCTTTGATTCTCTCATCCTCTGGAATTCTAACACTTGGCCTTGGTACTGAAGCACCTACCTTTTTCAGAGTTGCAGACACACATATCTGAATCAACATAGTAACTTTATATCCCTGAAATCATCTTCAATAGCTTCTTAACCCACTTTCACATGGACCTTCACATTTCCAGTTCTCTTAATTTCATACTATAACATCATTGTAACATATGCATTAATGTTACACTCATCGTTGTAAGCATATTGTTCCTAATTGTCCAACACTATGGTCCATATAATATGATGTTTCGAATAAATCATTCCATTTCTTGATTGTCTCCCTCTTTCTTTATCTAATGTTATTAACTCCAATATCATATGTCGCTTCACGACCACCAACAACAACCAACTTGACCCCCCAAACTCTTTTGGGAATAAGGAGTAAGGACTGGATGTTGTTGTTATGCTCTAATTTCGTTCCTTGTGGATTATATCTCTACATGTAAACTCTTCTTATTTACTCCACTAAACTCTTTATTCGATACAAGATATTCAACAGTTTTTATTTTTTGGGTACAACCGAAATGAAAATTCAACACTTTTTATGCTAACACTTCTAGTAGATCACACCTTTCTTGATAGGCGAAAATTGTAATCCATAAAATGAAGCGGGCCTAATGACCATAAGATACCCTATTATTCCAAAATTCAACCAAAATTTCCTGAACATTTCTTTCCTGCTTAAAAACTTTGCAAACACTGGCACAACAACGCAGTGGAAGTGTGGAACTATAGGTTGTCCTTCAGTTTAGAATGGTTTTGCTTGCTGGAAGTAGGAGTGGGATCCCGTACCTTGTCCCGATTAAGTCGGGATACCGACATTAAAATCCCGATTAAATCGGGTTCCCGATCAGGAATCCCGCTTAATCCCGACAATGAAGTATCAAATATATAATTATGTAATTTTTTCTTTGGTTAAACACTAACTTTGATATTTAGTAGTTTCAACATTATTCTTTGGTCATTATTATACCATATTTATCATCATCTACTTATAAAATTTATAGTAATAATTATTATCTCAAAAATTAATTATAACTTCAATTAATTAATATAGTTTGTTATTAAGCTATCAAGGTTTAGTGAAACTTACTTCAAAAATTATATAAAAATTCATTAGAAGAAGGATGTGTAACATATAGTATTTAAAATTCAAAGATAAGTAGACTCATTGAGAAACTTTGTGACCAATGAATATAATATATAAATATATATTATGATTATTTACTAAAGAAAGAAATCTTAGTCTCGATAATGATTTTTTAAAGAGTTCATCGAAACCGCAAAAATTGTAATATTGTTGAGATTTAGATTTTCGGGATCAAGAATAATCTATATTTAGTTAGGATCCAGAATATTTAGTTTGGGACAAATGCCTAATAGTTTTAGAAGTTTAATATTGTAACATAAAAGATTTTAATCTTATGTAAGGAATAACCGAATAAGTAAGTAAAAAAGATATGCAAATATTTAGATACACATTCATTTTTCATAAATGTATATTCATTTTTTAATATATTCATATATAATTATATATATATATGTATATATATTTCTATTTCTATACGTATATATATAGTGATGGGATGTCAGGATTTTCCCAATCCCGACTTTTTCCAAAGAAAAAAATCCCGGTCCCATCCCGACTTAGTCGGGATCAGGAAAAATTCCCTACTGGTCGGGATCGGGAATATCGGGACTCGGGAAAAAATTCCCACCCTAGCTGGAAGTACCGAAATCTAATAAAAAAAACAAGTATACTCATCCAATGTGCTAATGGAGCTGAGTACAGCGGCCCTATAAAGTGGAAAACACATATGTGGACTAAAAATCTCTTGTTTAGAAATATCAGTAGAGACTGTACCAAATTCATATTAAACAGGCAAATCACGCACCTACATCCCAACTATATCTTCACACTTTTTTGTTCCATCTGTCCCAAAATCAACTTCATTTTCCTTTCATAGCAAAGAGATTTGTATTCATATTATCTCCCTCATCTTGACAACTCTTGACCACACAGTTTTCATTTCTCAATCAAAGTTAAAACTACAAACAGGAGTTAATATTGAGACGGAGGGGGCAAGTATTAAGAAAAAGACATGCTGCCATACCATTGACACGGCGCTCACATTTGAGCAGTTTGTGATCAATGATCTCCTCCCCATATGTTATGTCTGCACCATAGTCAGCCGCCAGCAACCTAAATGGTAGCGTTCCCTGTTAAAATATTAACTTTCTGTCCAAAAACTGAACCACTTCATGTTCCTAACCATAAGATATACATATAATAGCAAATTCTACAAATAGGGAGCAACATCAAACAAAGGTCACAACTTGTACTCTTTTGCAATTCTAACCCCAGCAACCCAACCAGGTCACTGTGGTGGTATTGTAACAACAGAGAACTTTCAAGCATTTACAAACTTAGACCTAATTCCGAATGGGAGTGATAAAAGAGGACATCCAAGAATAGTGACCAGATTAAAGACTAGTAAGTCTTACTATTCGGACCATCGGGGCCAAGACCAGCTTGTTTCGATACTCCATTGGTCTCTATCTAGCAGGCGACGACAACTGAAATGCACAGAAGATGATAATACGGAATTCGAAGTATTTTCCCCGGTCGATATTTACCCTATCTACGGCGGCATGACTCTGTAATCTGGGATGCGGCGGATAATAAGGTGGCCGGTCGTATGAACAAGTTCTTTAACTTTTAATTAAAAATTAAAATAAAAAAAGAGAATTCCCCAAATAAGAGTAAAAGATAGACAAAACACAAAAATAGGAATACCATACCATGTTTTGAATAGGAGTAACTTAAGTGTTTAGACAAGTATATCCCTACCCAAGCCCCGACAAATTTCATTAATAATTAAAACATAAAAGGAATAACATTAATTTATAATAAAATTGTAAAAAAATGAAAAAACACAAAAATATATCAAATAAAACATACTTCGTATTAAATAAAATTAATAAAAATAAAAATTATTAAAATAAAAAATATTAAATAAAAAATTTAAAAATTCAAATTAAAAAAATAAAAAAAATATGTAGGCGTCTGCCGCCGCCTCAACAACCTCCCAACACCACCAACTCCGACCACCGAAAAAATTGCCAACATTTTTCCGAAATGCCATCATGATGGCAGGTTTGAGAAAATTTGGCATTTTCAAATAACAAAACTGTCATCTTTATGGCATTTTCAAAGAAAAATAAAAGTTTTAACATAAAATGACATTTTTTTTTGCCGATCGGAGGTGACATTGTTGGGTGATGGCCGAGGTTGCGGCAAAGGCCTGCATAATTTTTTTATATTTTTTAATGTGGTTTATCTATTTTTTATTAATATTTAAAGTTTTTTATTTTTTTAAAAAAAAAAATTATTATTTCAATATATATTTTCAAATATTTTGGATTTTTTTATATTTTATTAGGATCAAATAAGTCATATTTTAGAATTAACTAGGTTAGGGGTATTAAGGGTACAAAATTAATGTTTACTTCTATTGAAGGAAGTTTTAAGTTTCACTCCTATTTGTGTAATTATGTTTATGTTTACACCTATATTGGGCCATTTCTCAAGTAAAAACTTTGGATGGCTCTATTTAAAATAATTTTAAATTGTAGAAACAGTCTTGAACAAAAAATAATACCTCATACCAATTTTGGGAATATTTTTTTAATAAAAACAACTATTTGAATATATAAGAAAGTGATATTGAAAATTTTTTCACTAAGTAACAGTAATTTGACTGATCAAAAACTATTACGGAGTATCAAAATATCAAATAAATGATTATATTTTCAAATATTATTTATTTGATGCTTTGATATCAATTATTTTTATTATAAATGATTATGCTTCATATTATTTTTATTATATATTTAAACAATTAATATCACTCAAAAACCATTTTCAAAGTATGCATTATTATCGGTTTGAGGGTGATAGTTTCTATTTTTTTTTAAATCTATTCCGTTAATTCAATTTTGATTTATCAATGTTGATTAATTTATCCATTCAAAAAATGTTGGTTAATTTATATTTTGGTTACACAAATGTTAATACTATTGTGTATGTCATAAATGTTGGTTGATATATTGGATATCAGTTAACTAAATTTTAATTTAATAAGTGATCAATTAGATATATAACTGTGCAAAATATAAAATAATCCGTAACTAATAAATGCCTAATTCAAGTAATAAAAAACAATTAAAGTATATAAATTCATATAAAAATGAAAGTGGTGGAGCATTATATAAATTATCAACTCTAATAAGTCAAATCATTTAAATTTTGAAACCTTAATATCTGTCGCTTCTCTCATACGCATGTGTGCCATATGGAATCTTATGTGCAAATTCGTCTGGATGACGTAAGCCCTAGACAGTTGTCCCACGCTAGACGCAATCATGGTTGTTCGTGGAACTTGAGTGCTGAAAATGACTAAGCTCACGATCTCCTTATAAGGTCTCAAGTTGTGTATGTGAGGTCGAGCTCGAACATAGTGCACTTGTTTAGGGGAGGGTGACCTTAGTTCACTCCATGTGAAGTAGTGATGTTGTCTCTGATCCGTTGATTTCGTGAGGCGTCAATTGACTCTGTGATTGTTTACTTATGCCGGATTTGATAGTGACCTAGGCGAGGGTCGACCTCGACCTCAGACGCAATTTTGGACTTATCTCAATAATTTGGGAGTTGAATTTGGACCCGACCTCGGCCGAGGTCAAGCTCAACCTCGATATGAAAATGACTTAATGGATTCCGAAGATCCCTTATCCGCAAATGTTGATACCCCTGTGATATATGGGAATATATTTCATCAATACCAATTTGATATTTGTATCATCTATTTTATTTTCCTTGACATTACACCCACAACATGCAAGCTTTTAATACTCTATAATCTATATATATTTTTGAGACAATTGCGTTAATCTATAGTAAATCATTATAAGTTTTTTCCAAATTTTGAACAGAACCAGACTCATCAAGTCAAAATATCAATTTGTTGTGTCATTGTGTGTGATTCATCTATTATCTTATGTTTGCGGTTATGTTCATTTTATATTATTTGTTAAACGAGTTTTCTTGTGCAAATCTATATTTATTTCATTCTTCATAAATTTTAATTATTATAATGAATTTTTTTTCATAATATTCTATAAAAAGAAATTTCATAATTTCATATATAAAAAGATGTAGAATATACAAATAACTCCAAAACGCAAAAATATTGACTTTGACATTATTATAGTTTTCACAATTTTTTATATTTTCTTTGAATTTTAACAAATCCTTAGAGTTTTTTTTTATATAAAAAGCTGCTATCATAGTTCAAAAATTGATTAAAAAGCTGGATTGATCATTTTTTTAAGATAAGCGCACTTGATTACACTTTTTTTTACTATAGACTTAAATGATAGAATGAAAATAGTAGAAAGATTTATTTAATCTTTTCCCAAATAATAAATACGGAGTGGTAATCATGATGTGCGTAGTCAAATATTGGGGTAAATATGACGTATAAATAAAAAGAAACAAATTGCCAAACGGAGTCTTAGATGAAAGTAAATCGTGCTTCTTCAGTGCATTTTGCATTTGAGAAACACTGTATCACAAATTCACAATAACGTCTGACAATTTTTTACAAAAAAAAAAAAAAAACCTCCCTCAATTTACTACAATATTTAATTTAGTTATTTCACAACACCATCTCAAGGTGAATGAATATGGTGTATAATTGTATAAATAACAAAACTCATATATAAACATAATCCAAACGTGCACTCTTACTTGGAGAGAAATACACCGAGAGAGAAGATGGAGAAATGATTTGGACTCCAAATTTTTCTCAAATTTAACCCAATTTGGAGTAAATTTGAGAACATGTCATTGTACTGTAAATATCTTTACCCTTTCAATCAATGTTCATTTGCAAACTGGTCAACTTATTATTGTTTACTTTGTTTCCTCTATTGCATCCAGTTTGTAAATGTGCTTGTCTACTCCTGATGCAACCATTCTTGAAGGCGGTTTAGCTATAAATGGATTCACAGGTGTGCTCAAATTATCTCCTTCCCCTTCTAACATTTGAAGGGCACTTGTCATGGAAGGCCGATCAACCGGATTCCATTGACTACACCACAAACCCACAATGGCTAGCTTCTTTGCGATTTTAGCATCAGTCTCTTCTTCAATATCAAACCTTAGATCTTCTCCTTGCTCTAACACATTATAAATCCACTCAGGGAAGTGCACCTGATCCTCGGCATGTGATTCAGTGTCAATACATTTCCTTCCACTCACCATCTCTAATAACAACATCCCGAAACTATAAACATCCGATTTATAAGAAACATTCCCGAAGTTTCTGGAGAACACTTCGGGTGCCATGTAGCCTATAGTGCCCCTAGCTGTTGTCATGGAGATCAGGCTTTGTTCCCTTGAGTACAGCTTAGCGAGGCCGAAGTCGGTGATTTTGGGATTGAGATTGTCATCAAGAAGTACATTGTGCGGCTTGATGTCGAAATGTAGGATTCTTTCATCACAACCGTGATGGAGATACTCAATCCCTTTGGCTATGCCAATAGCAATATTTTCCAAAGATTTCCAGCCAAGAAAACTTTTCTTCGAGTCTGGTGAAGAAATGAACTTCTGGAGTGAATCATTTGGCAAGTAATCATATACTACAGCCCGTTTAAACCCGTCTGCACAGAAACCGATCAAGCGGACTATATTGGCGTGATGAATTTTCACTAATGTCCCAACTTCATTAATGAATTCCTCTCCATTTGCTTTGGAATCATTGAGGACCTTAACAGCTACTTTAACGTTCTCAGACAGCATCCCCTTATAAACAGTTCCATGAGCTCCTTTTCCCAATTCGTACTCAAATTGATTTGTAATCCTCTCAAGATCAGCAAACAAGTATCTTGTGGGCTTGAAAGCTTTGTAATCATCCAAAAACTTCTTAACCTTGGCTTGATATTTCTTTTCAATTCTATAAAGTCTGTATCTATATAAGACTAGAAAAACTAGTCCTAATAAAAAGACCAAGCCGAAGACTACACCTGCACACACATAGAAGTCCATTTGTCTTATTGTTTGAGAAATGTGATTGCCATAATGTGAGAATTGACTTAACTAAGTATGTTAGCCAACCTGTAATCACCTTCTTTTTCATTGAGCCTGTAAAAAAGTTAAAAAGATATGGGTTTTAGTACTAATATAATTAAGTATTATAATTAAAATTGACCTGTAGAAAATTTCAAACAAGTCCAAATAAATATTCCATACGCATAGCCTCATAGGTGATTCCTTCGTTACTATCACTCCATCCCGTTTAGAGTTCCCGTTTTCATTTTACGGACGTCCGAGCTAAAGGTTTTCATTTCTATTTTAGAAAATAATAACATTCTTAAATGACAATTTAATCATCAAATAGTAAAAAAGGGGGAAATAATTAAAATACCCCAAACTTTGAAGGGTTGTGAGATGAACACTCCAAACTTGCATATGTAATTTAAATACCCCAAACTATATATAAAAAGTTATTTTAGCTAACAGTCAAGTATTATTTCTTTCAAAAATGTAAATTTATGGTGTTAATTACATAATTTAAAATATTTTACTTGAAAATTTCATAATTGTCAAACAATAATTGAAAATAAGATTACTTGAAAATAGTGTCAAACAATTTCAAACAATTTCAAAAATAGTGTCTAAACACAATTTCAAACAATTTCAAAAATAGTGTCTAAACAATCGCTCCGTCCCCTTTTAAATGTCCTATTTTACCATGTTGGGATGTCCCTATTTAATTGTCTGATACCTTATTCGGTAATGTTTGTGTGGCTCAAAATCATTCTTACTTTATTCTTACTTTATCAATTAATATCAACCACACAAACCCACTTTTCTTAAAACTCGTGTCACCCTCTTCCGGGACATTTAAAAGGGGACGGAGCGAGTACACCGTAAAATTTATCTTCAATAAATTTAGAGAGTTTTGCAGAGGTACACAAAATGTCTACACAAAATGTGTACACATGTCTGTCATTCACAGAAATTTTGTCTGTCACAGACAATTCAGTGACAGACAAAATTTATTTGAAGTACAGACATGTGTACACATTTTGTATATCTCATGCATGTTTCATAAATTTATTCTTGTGAGTCAGAGTAGGACATTCATTTAGGGTAATTACTTTTTTATTTGATGGTAGAACGTAGTAAAGTGGGAAAAGGCACGCACCTTTTGTGGGAAACTCATAGCATTCTGTTGTGTTGCTTCCTTTGTTCTTGTTGGTGTTGGTTAGTCTGCAATATTTGCCTTCCGCTCCGCAGACTCCACATTCCGGGTCGGACCATTTCAATCGAAAGGAGCCATGGAGCTCAAGATCACCTGGAAGTGCTGCTGCGATGTCATACATCTTGGTACAAGATTGTACAAAGGGATCGCCAACACTCAAATAAGAGGGTGTGGCGAAAATTTGATAGCCCGCTGGATCGTTCGGACAATAGATCTGAGATTTCCACGGCATATCATTCCTAGTTTCCAACAGTAATTCTTCTGATCGCGGCGTGCAGCGGAGCACGGTGTACGGATTTCGCCACTTGTGGCCGGGTAGTTGGAACGGAGAAGAGGACAAACTGAAGTTCTGAAGCATCCTCGGGAGGCAGCCGCCCGAATAGCTGACGAGAATGGTCTGAGAAGCATAATCGATTTCCTTGACGGAGAGAGTGACGGAGTTTGGCAGCCGCAGCAGCAGCAGCGGCGGCGTTTCCCCCGAGCCGCTGCGGCAGGACAGATCAAAGGCACGGTGGGGGTAGCCACAGGCGGCAGGTTGCCGACCTCTGATTCGGAATGGGAATTTCACGGCGGGGCTATTCCTCATTTCCTCCCGCAGCCTCTTTCACGGCACTCTAAATCCGCCGCCGCCGCCGCCGCCTTCTCTGTCCAAACCAACAATTTTAGTAACAAGAATAACAATAAATTGCTTAACAACAGCTTTCTGAGATTCATAAGCCCGAACTCGGTTCTGATCTTCGCTGCGTGATTAGCGTAGAAATGAAAAACAAGTTTATAAGCATTGCCGTATTCGTTGACTTATCCTCCCACTGCTCAACCTGCTAGTACGCGTTGACTAGCAATGTACAGTTTGAAATCAAACTTTGGGATCCGCAGATCTTTTTCGTTCAACTGTTCAAGATGAGTATGATACGAAGATATCACTTTTTGGGATTAAAATAAGAATAATACTAAAAATTAACAAACAAATAAAAAAGATAGAGAGATTTATCTAAATAAGACTAAATATATCCTTAATTGTCAAAATAGGACTAAACTTTAAAAGTTCCCTAAATGGGAGCAGGGTTGGGTCCGAAAAACCCGAAAAACCGAAAATTGAATCAAATTAAACCGAATCGCGACCAAATAAAATTGAACCGCTAAAAACCGAAACCGAATGTAAAAAACCGAACCGTAGTAGTTTGGTTCGGTTTGGTTTTTACACTTCAAAATCGAACTGAACCGAACAAACCGAACAAAAATAAAATATGAAATTTTATTTGTTAAATGTAAGCATTAATCTTAATATCATCAATAATCATTGAATTTCTTGTGCTAGAGAAATAATATTTGTGCTATGTTTAGTTTAGTTTAGTTTATAAATGCATTTACACATTCATTGCTCATAATAATGTAGTTATATTGATTAATTATGTCTTTTATGTATGTATGTTGCAATTTGTTGCATAATTATATGTTTTTACTGGATATTAGTAGTAATTAACATTTATTTTTATGTAACTTAATTTTTTTGTAACTTAAATGTTTTATATTGATAAAAAAATATTCATCTCAGCTATATCACATAGGACGTATGTATTCATAAACGTTTTTCAAACTAGTCACAAACAATGTAAATTAAGAATAAATATACACTTTTATCTCTCCCGCATACTCATATAATTCAAAACATATTTGTTTATTATTAGTTTCTTTATTTGTTCAAGTATGCTTGCATTTTTATGTAATATGTTTGATCCTTCCAACTTTTATATCAATTTTAAATCAAATGACAAATTTTTACTAAAAAACCGAAAAAACCGAAAACGAACCGAAACAAACCGAACCAATCAAACTGTGGTTCCAAGTTTTGGAGTGTAAAACCGAACTGAAACCGAACCGAACTTTTACTTTCGTTCCGTATTTGGTTTTAGGTCAAAAACGAACCGAAAGAACCGAACCCACCCCTAAATGGGAGTTATTATCTGTAGTTAGACAGAAACACCCCTGGAACCCTGGGAAAAGGACTGCTGTTGTCGAAACCCAAACTGTCGCCTCCTCCTCAGAACTGGACGTCGCCGCTATAGATCTGGACACCGCTGATACAGATCTAATCGTCGCTAGGGCAGATCTGGCTGTCTCCGTCGTGGATCTGACCACATCTATTCGCCCTCAGTCGCCGGCCATGCGAATTTGACTGCCGCCACTGGATGTCCGGGCGTCACCATTGCAGATCCAGCCGACCCTGCCGCTAATGCCAACATTTTTCTCAGAATGCCAAAAATAATCAAGATTGTCATTCTAATGGCATTTTTGAAACAAATTATGAAAAAAATTGGAGTGTAAAAATGCCATTTTGATGGCATTTCAGAGTAAAATTTGGCAATTTGAAACACCACAAAAGAAATAGAGCACATATATACGATGAAACAAAAGAGGGGAAGAGAGAAACATGTGAGAGGAGGAGGAGGGAGGAGGAGAAGATACTCCAATTATAGATTTCGACTTGCTACTCACTCACTCGTTGCTTGGCTCTGCACCTCTGCCCGCCTCCGTTGTTCGTTCCGCCCCTATTGTTCGTTGCTACTCACCGCATCGGGAAGCTCACTATTGCAGGTTTTCAATCGGAGGACATGAGCGGAGAGAAGGACCACCATCTAGCAACCTGAGATGCGAGTAGATCGAAGAAGAGTAGCTGATGTGGGAGAAGAAATTAGGAATGAAGAGGAGTTTATTTGTCGGAGAAGGTGCGTAGTAAGGGAAGAGAAATTTTGTCTATAGAATTGAATTGAGTAGAACTATAGAAGGGAGCCGATGCGCGTCGATGAGGGGGTAGATCCGAATAGAAGAGGGTAAAATTGGAACAATACTCCTATTTAGGGAATAAAATTATAGCTACTCCTATTTAGGAATTTCATCAACAATTTAATCCTATTTAGGGCAATAACTCAAAAAGATATGATGTTTAAAAATTTCCAAAAAAAAAGCGACTAGAAATGAGTTAGGGGATCATTATTATATACTCCCCCAATCTCATTTTGTAAGATAACTTTCATATTTTCTTGGTCAACACAAATCACTCTTAATCTTTTACTTTATATATCAAAATTTTATGAATTTTGAATTACTTTTTGCAGGATTTGTAGTGGTTTTAATATAGTTTCTAAATATGTAAATTTTATTTTCTAAAACTAATTTGAGTGTTGACAGGAATCAATTCGCTTTATCGTCGGTCAAATATCGTAAACCGTAAAGTGTCTTACAATTCGGGACGGAGGGAGTACAACAATATAATTTTGGGAAATCAAAATACATGAAATTACAAAGTGATCCCCTGAATATACATTATTACACCTTCAATTTGTGCAGGGGTCACAACATACAAATTGGAACATAAAAATTCAAAATGCGGACTACATAAATTTTTAGTAAAAATGTCAGCTTAGAATGTTTTTACTTGGATTGTTTTCAGTCCCAAACTAGACCAGACCAAATAAGTAAATTTCAATCCATTTAAAAACAACCTAACTGCAACTGAGTGGGAATATATTTAACAATAAGATCTCCATGAGCTACTGGTTCGCGAACAAAGTATTAGTCAATCTTGATGTGCTTGCTGTGATCATGTTGAATGTGATTGACCGCCAAATCAGATGCAGATACATTGTCACAATGTAACTGTACGGGAGCAGTGATAATAACACACATATCAACAAGCAGATATCGAATGAAAAGTGTGTCCTAGACAGTATGACACAATATTCTGTTTCTGTGGAAGACTTGAAAATCGTAGGTTGTTATTTGAAGCGCCATTAAATAAGATTATTTCCTTGAAAAACATCATATCTTGTAGTAAATCTAGAGCGACAATTATCTAGACATCCAGCCAATCAGCATCAGAATAAGAAACAATTGTGCGGTCGCAGGTATAAGCCATGCGTGGATGTTCCCTACAAGTACCTGTAAATTCGCTAACAGCCAAAAAAGAGAGGTACGTCGAGCACGCATAAAATGAGAGACTAGATGAACGACATAAGTAATATCGGGTTTAGTTATAGTCGAATATCGTAATGCACCTACCATGCTGCGATCGATCGAGTAGTTTTGAACAGCGTTTCCGGTGTTTTTCAGGACATAAAGTGCGTAGAGAAGCGGAAGGGACCTAGCGACGGGCTAGCGTTTCGCTTTGGCCGCGAAGCTCTCTTCGCGCAGCTTTCTTCCACGGCAGTCCTACGGCAGTGGCTTCGTCCGCTTCAGGTGAGAACTCACGCCAAAGACTCACCCTCCAAACCAGAAGTCTTCGAGAATCGGGGCGATTCACACCGCTTTTGTTGGGTGATTCCACTCTGGTGGCCAAGGCGGCGTTCCTGTGGTGCGATGGGAGCAATCATTGTTTTCAGCGGTGGCCGTGAACTAGTGGTGGTTAGTATTGGGAGGGCTAATTGCCATATGCTTGTTTTGGTAGTGTTGGCTTTGTTGATGCTAGGGATGAATGCTACACCAGTTGTGTTTGATTCGGGCGGAACAATGTCGGTTTGGCTTTTGTTGGAAGGGGCGAATTTGAAGTCCATCAAGGTGGGTGAGGAATTGGCGCGTATGATCCGACCGTCTCAGGTGGTGGAGGAAGAAGATGATATGAGGAAGCTTCGTCCCCCTCCCGAACCGCCGCCATCGAAGAAGTGCTTAATTAGGCTCTGGAATATGGTGCTTGGAAAAGAGTCTCCACTGTTCTACAAGCTAAAGTTTGGAGGGATAAATAAGGCAAGAAGCCATGAAGACTTTAATTATTCCTATATTTTTTTCTTTTCGATTGCTCATGTTGCTTTTACTTTCGTTATGACCTCTAGATGTAGGTTGGTAGCTTGGTTTTTATATTTTACTCAGGATGTGATGTGGGTGGAAGCGATAAGGCTTGTTTGGCCATTAAAAGATTCGAAGCTCTCACATGGTTCGCGAATAGTCTCGCTCCTTTCGGGGTGGTATATTCTATGTCTAGCCAGAGAGTGGTCATGAGGAGGTTTGGCGATGTATGTTGGGAAGATCGTTGGAATTTGCGTTGATATAATATAATCAGTTTCCTTAAAAAAAGCAGAATCAATTCCAAACACCCCCTTATTTTGATTATTACATAATTCAGCGCGTGAAACCAAAAGTAATGTGTCACATTCATCAAATCCATTGAACTAGAGGTGGATGCCATGCAGTTCAAAGCTCTTCAATTGAATACCAGAAAAAGAAACTAATGCATTACCAAAATGCAGTTTAGCAAAATACTTCTTCTCCATCAACATTTTGATAAATTTGGTGATTTTTTCTATGACCTATTTTTTGTTTGACAAAGATAAATGTCTAGTGTTATTGCACACAACAATGCTTTTGTTTAAAACTTTAATTGTAAACTAATCTTGGACATCCAAAACAAAAATGCTAGATCTGCCACAACACCGAAAGAGCTCTAACAAAGAATACTAGAGTTATTCTAGAGCATAACGTTATATTATCGAGTATATTTCATAACATGCATCACATTGCAATAAAAACAAAATGCATTGGTTATTCATTCAAAAACCACATTATATGAATTGGATATCAATTGTTTCCGAAGTACAATACGGTAGTTCATGTACTACCACTAACTTACTTAAAATTCGAGATCAAACTGGTCGACTCTGTGGAATAGTCGAATGACATATCTGTTTCATCGTTGACCCATGCTTCTATAGGTTCTGAAACAGCTCTAGGAGGCAACTGCAGACCGTCCACGTCACCATTAAGCATGTCAACAACTTTGTTCATGGATGGTCGGTTACAAGGATTCATCTCAATACACCATAACCCCACCATAACCATCTTTTTAGCTATTTTATTTTCCTCCTCTGTAGTACCTCCAATCTCTCCATTTCTTCCCTCAGATACTTGGTTGTAAACCCATTCTGGGAAGTACTGGCTTGAATCGTTTGTTGATATATTCAATTTATTCCGCTTTCCAGCCATATCTAATACTAGCATCCCGAAGCTATAAATGTCTGCTTTGTACGAGACACGTCCAATATTCTTATAGAACAGTTCTGGTGCCATGTATCCAATAGTCCCCCTAGCTGCAGTCAAAGTTGCAATGGTGTTGTTTGCCTTCGAGTACAACCTTGCGAGACCAAAATCAGATACTTTTGGAATGAAATTTTCATCAAGGAGAATGTTATGGGGCTTGATATCAAAATGAAGTATTTGCATATCACAGCCTTGATGTAGATACTGAATGCCACGAGCAACCCCTACAGAGATCCGAAACATTTCCTCCCAAGACATTGTCGAGGTCAATCCTTCTTGAGACAACAAATATTTATCAAGAGAGCCATTTGGCATGAATTCATACACAAGAGCCCGCTTACACCCCTCCACACAAAAACCAATCAGTTGCACCACATTTACATGATGAATTCTTTCAATGGTTGCAACTTCGCTAATGAAATCTTCTCCGTTACCTTTTGAGTTCAATAACATTTTTACAGCAGCAAAATGACCACTACGGAGCTTTCCTTTATATACTGCACCGAAGCCTCCTTTTCCTAACATCTCCTTAAACCCCCCTGTCATCTTCTTAATCTCGGAGCAAGAATACCTTATAGGCATGAGGTTGTTATGGTTCTTCAGGAAGTCTTCTACTTTGTCGTAAGCTGATAAATGTCTCCTTCGCCATGTGTAGATCAGCAATGCAATCATAAATGGAGCCCCTATTGATGCCTTTGCTGCTTGAAGGAGACCTATGTATGAAATCAATCACCAGAACGTACTATTACACTACTAACTATAAGAAGATACATAATTTACAATTTAGCTTATTTGTTTGTGTACTTTAGAAGGTAGACTAGAAATCTAAGGATACGGAAAGTTAGTGCTTACAGATCAGATAGATTATATCCAAACCGGATCCTGCAGACAATGTTCAAACCAGTTGATAAGATTTTACATACTTTGGTATCATGGTATGAGAAAGGTAGAATGTGCTATACTTGACTAAACCAGAGAATATCAAAGGCCTACCCTTTAAAGTATACAATATTTGGACGACAACAGCGCGAACTTTTCTAGCATCTTCATTGGCCGGAGAGAAAAAAAGAACAGTTCAGGAGCAGAAGTATGAATAATTGAAATAAGATTAGGCAAATATGCTTAAGAGCATAACAAGTCAGGAATGTAAGCAATTAAATAGCAATAATGAAGGCAGATCAATTTCTTTGGCTGATTCATTTGAATGATACTGTGATGAATGCCATAAAATTTGAGTCACAAAGGAAACCTCCTAGCATATATACTCACCAACTTGCCTGCATGAACCGTGATTAATCCTCAAGAAGTGGTAAATTTCACACATATACACATAATGTGCAGGGGCAGCTGTTATAACAAAAAGGTAACACAAGGTGGATATAAGCAAAACAAAAAAAATATAATTTGAGTAGTGTATCTCTTCAAATTGAACATCCACTGTACTTTCCTGCACGATCCCAGTAGAGTTCAAAGCCAGAAAAGAGATCCTGATGAATCTCTTCATACGACGTATAATTTCGTCCTGCTGGTACCAAAACTGACTTCACTATGCTGCAACCAACCTGCAAATCCCCTAAACCCGTTTTTCTGGCAGGAGCTAGGTACGAATAATTTCCGCTGCTAAAGCAAGGAGAAGTGTCAATGAAAGATGGGGAATTCAATGGAATCGGGCAGCTCACTAAGACCATAGTGTCTGTCAGGTATTCATAACGGCCGCTGAGAGGAGAAATTGGGAAGGAGGAGCAATCTTCTTCACGAACACCGACATCGGACACTCTGATTGTGAGGGCGGTGTAATTGATTGAGCGGACATTGTACTTGCCGGAGTTGAAATGGAGCACTGTAGCATTATTGTTTTCACAGAACAGGGTAAATCTCTCGTCTCCGCAGTGTTTAGGGTCGGAACTGAGCCGGAAAGGGTAGCTGATGTTGCGGATATCGCCGCACGAAGAAGGGGCGCAGGTTTTTCCTTCGCTCAGGTGGAAGAGATTCAGGAACACAGCAGCAAACATAAAAATCATGCTGGTGCTGTGAGCGTGAAGAGAAGAAGAAGAAGAAGAAGAAGATGGCGCCATCGAATTGGAGATGAAAATGGACTCTCTCTTTTAGATTGGATAGATCACCGTCGTCTCCGAACACAGCCATGACTTTGCAACTTGCAAGGCTTCGGTTTTGCTCCTCTTTTTTAAACTTAGTAATTTAGAGATTAAACAAAATACATTAGTAGTCAATTTTGGTATGCAAGGCTATAGTCAACTTTGGAACGCTTTCCTCTTCAGAGTTCTATGCAAGAGCAATACGTAGTGTATAATGACTATAATCCCTCTTTCAAAATTTCTTTTGATATTTTTGTTGAATACACATCAACTCTTTTTGCTTTGAGTCAATAGTTTATTTTTGTTGAATACACATCAACTCTTTTGGAAAATGATGTTTGCACCCACTTTTATACCCACTTTTGTACCCACCCATGTTTGTGAAGTTATTTTTTTTGTCTGTGAATTCTTTCACAGACAAAATATGTCTGTGAAGGAATTCAAAGACATATTTTGTCTGTGAACTGGCTTCACAGACAAAAAAATAGCCTTCACAAAGGTGGGTATAAGGTGGGTACAAAGTGGTGGGTACAACAAGCATGGTTGAACTCTTTTTGCTTTGAGTCAATAGTTTATTTTTGTTGAATACACATCAACTCTTTTTGCTTTGAGTCAATAGTTCAAATACTCTCTGATCAGGATTGTATTGTGCTAAAAACAAATTATCAAAAAAGTAGACTCAAAAGGCGCATAAACGGGTTTGATCGGAAGACAGGTCTGGTCAAGCTGGCCTCATAAGAAGTGTTATCTTATCATATTATATATACATGTATAAATTCCAAAATATTTTACACACACATATAAATACATGTACTAAAATTTTAAAAGACTGAAAACATATAAAGTACTAGAGAGAATTCCTTAAATAGGAGTAAAAATGTTTTGAAATTCCAAACCAACAATTTTAGTAAATCCGCCGCCGCCGCCTTCTCTGTCCAAACCAACAATTTTAGTAACAAGAATAACAATAAATTACTTAACAGCAGCTTTCTGAGATTCATAAGCCCGACTCGGTTCTGATCTTCGCTGCGTGATAAGCGTAGAAATTAAAAACAAGTTTATAAGCATTGCCGTGTTCGTTGACTTATCCTCCCACTGCTCAACCTACTAGTACGCGTTGACTAGCAATATACATTATACAGTTTAAAATCAAACTTTGGGATCCGCTGATCTTTTTGGTTCAACTGTACGAAGATATCACTTTTTGGAATTAAAATAAGAATAATACTAAAAATTAACAAACAAATAAAAAAGATTGAGAGATTTACCTAAATAAGACTAAATAAATCCTTAATTGTCAAAATAGGACTAAACTTTAAAAGTTCCCTAAATGGGAGCAGGGTTGGGTCCGAAAAACCCGAAAACCGAAAATTGAATCAAATTAAACCGAATCGCGACCAAATAAAATTGAACCGCTAAAAACTGAAACCGAATGTAAAAAACCGAACCGTAGTAGTTTGGTTCGGTTTTGATTTTTACACTTCAAAATCGAACCGAACAAACCGAACAAAAATAAAATATGAAATTTTATTTGTTAAATGTAAGCATTAATCTTAATATCATCAATAATCATTGAATTTCTTGTGCTAGAGAAATAATATTTGTGCTATGTTTAGTTTAGTTTAGTTTATAAATGCATTTACACATTCATTGCTCATAATAATGTAGTTATATTGATTAATTATGTCTTTTATGTATGTATGTTGCAATTTGTTGCATAATTATATGTTTTTACCGGATATTAGTAGTAATTAACATTTATTTTTATGTAACTTAATTTTTTTGTAACTTAAATGTTTTATATTGATAAAAAAATATTCATCTCAGCTATATCACATAGGACGTATGTATTCATAAACGTTTTTCAAACTAGTCACAAACAATGTAAATTAAGAATAAATATACACTTTTATCTCTCCCGCATACTCATATAATTCAAAACATATTTGTTTATTATTAGTTTCTTTATTTGTTCAAGTATGCTTGCATTTTTATGTAATATGTTTGATCCCTCCAACTTTTATATCAATTTTAAATCAAATGACAAATTTTTACTAAAAAAACCGAAAAAACCAAAACCGAACCGAAACAAACCGAACCAATCAAACCGTGGTTCCAAGTTTTGGAGTGTAAAACCGAACTGAAACCGAACCGAACTTTTACTTTCGTTCCGTATTTGGTTTCAGGGGGAGTGGGGCAGGGGGAGCCTGGAGTAATAGGGGCTGAAACTCACTTCATTGAGTTTCAACCCCCTATGTGCCTAACGGGTTTCGAACTCGAGACCTCTCACTAGGCACGATAACCTCGCAACAAGTTAGCTTGGAATACTTGGTTATATAGACATAAACATTTATGAGCATACCATTAAATGAAATATAAACGTCTTAGTGAACATGAAATAATATAATGTCATTAATATAATCGTAAACTAAAAAAGGTTGGTATAATTTTCCGTCGTCCTATTTTTACGTATTGCGGTTGTACGTGGCAGTCTCGACCATAACAAGTTCATCTGAGTTGAATGTTGCATATAAAGAAATTTATCATAATTTCATGCACGTAATCTTTGTGACCATCTTTTTTGTCGTGTGATGTTTTGCATTTAATTTTGATGTAGCACGAAGTATTATTTATTTCTTAGTTTTCTATTACAATGACTTTTTTGTTTTTATTTTTTAAATGTTTGCAGCTAACCGGAAGTCTGGAATACTACTAAGTTGTTTAGTTTTCATATAATATAATTGCATTCAATATATCTTACTTAATACTATAAATGCATATAGTTTTCTTAATTTTTTTTTTTTGGCATATATAGTTTTCTTATTTGGACACTTAATTTTGTAATACATTTATCATGTTTCTAAAAACCGGGTGAAAAAGTGGACAAACTTCAAAATAGGGCTAAGCATATTTCTTCCCAAAATATCAATATTTATGAACCACAGTTGCACGGGTGCAAAATCAAGTACGTACTTCCAATGCAAGGACCACACGTGTGTTGGCAAAGTCCATCTTTATCATTGGATGCTAGTATTACACGTTGCTGTAAGCATCAGGAAGCAACAAAATAATGAACAGCTAAATAAGTATAGGGATAAGAGTCAGTTTGATCCTCGAAGTTGGAAAAAAGGGGTCAAATAAGTCCTTATATAGAAGATTCTGTCCGGACGTGCCACTACAAGAAATCACACATTTTATGACAAAAATTTGTGTGACACAAAAAATTGTCATATTATATTGAGTAATAGTTACAAAACATAAATTCGTCACCGTAAAATGATTTGTTATGACAATATTATTGTTTGTCACTGAAATTATTATATTTCGTCACCAATTGATGTTTACTATGACAGTAAGATATAATTTGTCACATAAAGTTTGAGCGCCAAAATTTGATGCCAAAAATTTGGAGGGAAATTTATTGATGACAGTTTTTAAATTATTAATGACGATAAGTTGTGTCACATAATTTTTAACTATTACGACAAAATCATATTTTGTCATTAATTATTTTGTAAAATAACGACAATATTATTTTGTCATTAATGCAACCTTTTGATGACGATTCACGTAAATGTGTCATAGTTTAATTTTTAAGAGTAAATATGTTTTTAGTCCCTGCAAATATATACTAGCCACTTTGTTTTAGGTCCCTGCAAAATACTTTCTTCGTTTTTCATCCTTAAATTTATGTTGATTTTCTTTTTAGTCCATGACTAATGATAACAACCTCCGTTTGACATTGAAACAATCCGGACTAATAGGTATCCTTAAATTCTTTGTCATACCATTTTTAAAATGTGAATAATTAGTTTCAATATTGTTTTAACTCTCTTATTAACCTCAACCAAAATTATAAATTGGTAAATTTAAATGTTTCTAGTTGATTTATGCAACTGACAATAAAAAAACTCCAATGCAAGTAAAGTTGTTTTTGAGTTAGAGAGACTAAAATCAAAATAGTGCATATTACATGGATGAAAATCAAAGAAAATATTTTGCAAGGACCTAAAACAAAGTGACTTATATTTGCAGTGTAAAACCGCACCCCCCCGAAAAAAAAAACTCACTTCAAATATTTGAAAGTGGATAAAATCTTTAGCTTATGGGATATGAAATTTTTGTTAACAGATTAATTATTCTTATTATTATAATTATTATTATTTATTTCCACCGGATGTGAGAAATCTTGACTACAAATATACGAAGTATATAAAGATACACTCAAAGAAAAAGCTTACATATTAGAGTTTTTTCCTAAATTAATGTTAATTAAATAAATATTTACCAAATTAAGGTTGGGTTAATAATAATTCCCATACTACTGCTACCTTGGTTAAACAAACCCATACGGCCATACGGCTTTTCTAAACATACGGAGTAGGCCACAAATGTAGGAATCAAGATGGGTCCCTCATAATTATAAAACTTATTTTTTCTTTAAATGACTATAACTTTTTTATTTTTACTCTATTTTGTATAAAAAATATATCACAATTCATAATTTTTTATGAGCTTTCATTTGACACCAATATTGCATATGTAATTTTTTTTTAAAAAATGAAGAGTATATGGAGCCCGTTTGGGAACTCTTTTTTTCGACTTATCAATCTCATCAACCAACTTTTTC